GAAAAATGATTTTAGATTTACAGTTAAAATGGCTTCGAGTGCAAAGGGTTTGATATTGTATAGCTTTCTATCGAAACGACCTTTTCAGGCAAATATTTGACAACAGTTTCAGCAACCTTCGATAGGCGATTGCTTCTTCTACGACGAGAGCAGGGTCGGAAATTCATCGGACACATCGCGCGCTAATTCGAGCAATCTTGCGGAAACGTTCGCATAATTCACTGTAGCTGCAGGGGTCGCGTTCGCTCGGAGCTCTCTGCAAGGTGTCCTTTTGCCTCAGAACGCTCGGTTGTCAGCGCTAACAGCCCTCTGCAGGATCCAGTGTCAGTGGTAACAGCTCGCGCGTGTCGGCCACGTGCCGGTCCGCTCGCAACCCTCCGCGCGTTTAACTCGGACGAATTGCGCCCTTTCCAACTTGTAGAATAACAGGCCCAAATGCCGGAGATCTGCAACTTTGAACATTCTCACGAGCCGCCGTCCACTCGAGCTCTCGCGAATCGACCCTCGCGGCTCGTGTTGCCCCGAGTCGACGACGAAGAGAACAACGGAGACAACGAAGAAGCCTCCGCGGGTCGTTCTCTCCACGGCTAGCAGATTAAAGGGAAGCAATTTTTCCTGAGCGATCTCTCGCGACATTACTTTGCACGCTGCTGATTTCTCACGGAGCCCTAAACGGCTGAACAGGACAAATGTTTCGATTCCCATGGATCCTCTTTGCGCGACCGCTAACGAAACTGCTCCTCCTTCGCAATATTTAACCCTTAGCACTCCGAACCGTTCTGGACGTTGGCTAGCAGCTACTCGGCGCCACTTTTCGGCAGAAACGGACATTTACAGACCCTCGTATTATTTAGTATGCTTTTGGAACTAACTAACATATTATAATGATATTGGACCTATACGAATTTGGCTGAAATCGAGAAATTTGCAAAAAGATCAATATTTTATTTTTTATAATTTTGTTATCGTTTGTTTTATAATTTTGTTTCGTTGTTGTAATCGCTGTCTATGCGAACTCTTTCTCTCGTCGCCTTGTTGCTTGGACGATATCGCTATCGCTGCTATCAAAACGATAGACCAACTGTAGAAGAAAAGCTTCTACAATTAGTCTTTCTAACATATCTCTATGAACGTCTATCTGGAGCTCATCTTCGCTACTACTTGTGTCACGAGACTCATTCGTGTTCGAACGTTTCGCCATTGTTCTAATAAAAAATACGAATAAATACATAGGTCGAAAATTTCTAATCGTTATTACTAACTCGCAAGATGATATTTACCAAAAA